CGGCGCTTTGAGTCCAGCATCCCAAATCGCTGGGTTGGGGACACACACAGCACACGGTCAGTTTTCAGTGTTGAGGAAGGTCAGGGTATACCTTTCTGCTCTTTTTTTTTCTGGAAAAACCCCATGATTGGGTTGCCTGGCATTCCCGGGATGGGTGGGTACCCGACTGGGTGGCGCGGGGGCTGCGGGACCGCTGCCGCCCTGACCGACATTCCCGGTCCACGGAGACGTCGGTGTTGGAACAGAGGGAACAATGCCGAGCTGTGGCGCTCGCAGGGAGAGCCCGGAAGGCCTAAACGCAAATAAAGCGAGCAAACGAGCTTTGATCTTTGAAAGAGTAAAGAATTTTAATTTAAGAACTGGAGCAACATTGCGAAAAATAGCGGGACTTTGGTTGTTAGGTAAAGTGCGTGAATTCTCATCATACAATGAAATTTATTGCAAAGAAGGACTCGCTTTTAAAATGATAAATGTCACATTTTACACCATTTTACATCCTTTATCGGGCAAGCGAGCTGATAAAGTTGTAGGAAATACGTACCGGTTTCGTACCCGGCTGGCCCGCAGCGCCTCTGGGTGCGCGAACGCCGATGGGTTTGCCGGGAGCCCGCCGCGCGCGTGCCATCCGCAGGGTGGATGGATGTCCCCGCTCCGCATGGCATGGGGACCCCGGGTGCGATGCCGCTCCGGCCTCCGCGCCGCCCCGGGCAGGAGAGGGCTGGGAGGAACCGGGGTGCGACGCGGCGCTTTGCCTCCCATCGTGGTTGGGCGATGCTTCGCCGAGGCCTTCGGCGCAGGGAACGTATGTCCCGCCGGCGCTATACGTCACGCAGGTTGGGAGCGGCGCGCAGGACTGCAGCTGTGCGCCCCGGAACGCTCCAACGTCAACGCGACCCCCAAACGTTTGGCAATCGTTCAGGAAAGGAGCTTAATCTGTTTTCATCTAAGCCCGGTTTTTCTCTTGCTTGCAACATCCCCGTGATGTTGTGTTTGATAGCGGATCACGGCGTAGCGAGAAGATGTCAAAAGAAAAATGAAAAATATCCAGGTTGTCAGCAAAAAAGAAAAAAAAGGCCTTTTCTGAGGTATTTTTTTCCCTGCTCAGTCTTTTCAGAGGCTTTTGGATTAGAGGCTTTAAGGCCGTTTTCCTTTAATCTGAATTAACGTTCTATTAGTAAAATGCAGCGCTCTGTCATACTCTAATCTCACCTTTTTCCGTGATAAAGGGAAAATAAAATATCTTTTGGTAAATATATTTCCTACCTATTAGGCCTGAAACAAATATTTAAGCGAAATTCGCCCGATTTTCATTTGAAAAGCAAAACTTCAGGTTTGCAATAGAAACATTTGTTTTTTTTCCCGGGGGGGGGGGAATATCAACTCCATCCGCACATGACTTTCTCCTCGTGCGCGCGCATTTTCTCCCGACCCGGCGTTAATTCTTTGTCTCCTTCTTCAAATTTCGGAGGCAGGAGTCGCTAGTCGCTGACTTCTTTTACGCGTTGCTGGAAAGACGGCAGGATTGCGTGTAGCGACGGGAAAAACCGAAACGTTGCAATTGATAAAGCCTACAGCTGCATGGCTCCACCTGAAAATGGATTTTGCTGTGTTGCTTCCCCCCTCCCTCCCCTTCCGTGCTCGTTTTTAGCTCAAACTCACCATTCGAGTGGCAAATTCTATATATTATTAGCTTGGCTTCTTACGAAACGACTAAGCGGGAGGCTGCGTGGGGCTGCGGGCGCGGTAGATGCTGTAACTCAAGAAGATGCTGCAGGATGCAGAGGGATGAGCCGAAAGGTCTGCGGCGTCCCGTGTCCCGCCGCCGGCGGAGAGAACCCGCTCCCGCCGCGCGGACCCGCACGTGAGCCCCGGCTACCACAAACCTTTACCAAACGTCACACTTGGCTTCTAAGCTCAGCAGTTCTTAGGGGTAAATATTAACTTTGATGCCTAATCATTCATTGCCTTTCCGAGACGCGATTTGAGCGGAGGAGAGCCGGGAAGGCTGTGTAATCCATGGCATTGGGGTTTGTAAACGTTTTCTCTCTCTCTTTGTTGCAGGCCATTAGCAGTGTGACACGTAGGCTGAACAGTAATAAACGCTCATTGTTCCTTTACAAGCAGCTCGGAATAACTACATATATGTTTTTATTTTAGCTTTCCTCCCCGGAGTGCTCGGTGAGGTCCCCCTTAACGCACAGACCCACTTCTTTTCTACTTGGTCAGGAGGTCCCTGTCCCGTAGCAGACAAAGGAAGGGGCTTTTCTCTGCTTTGGGTTATTTGTGGTGTTAGGTTTGGTTTGGTTTTTTTTTTCTATTCGAGAGTGAAGAAATGAGTCTGTGACAGTTGCGGTGAAAATCTTTGAGCTCCGTTTTTCCCAAAAAAAAAAGAAAAAAAAAAAAAAGAAAAAAATAATCTTTGTTGGAGAAAAAGCTGTTTAGAACATAGCGCTGGGATTGAATTTGCTGATGGTGAGACGGGTGGCATGAGCAAGGAGCGCCCTTTGCGCGCAAGGTTGGGGTCGGGGGGTGCCCCAGTAGGACCAGCGAGTCCCTGAGGTTGGGACCCGGCACCCCCCGGGGCGTACAGCCTGGGGCACGGGGTGTCCGGCGTCCCCCCGCCCCAGACCTGGTGGGTCAAGAGGAAGGAGCGGGCGCCAGAACGTGCAACTGGTGGCCAAGAGAAGGGTTGGGTCGGGAGCGGAACAAAAGGCGTTGCAACCTTGAAGACTGATGCATGCGTTTCCTTCTCGTTTAATAACACAAGTTTGGGATTTTTTTCCTGTAGAAACCTCTGCATCTTTTTATAGAGAAAAATGTTTGGATGAAAAAACAAAAACAACATAGGGTATGTGTATGTTTTATGCTCCTAAAGTGAATCTTGTTTAATCTCAAATCGTTTGCAAACGCTGTCTTATATACGTTTGTTGGGGTTGGGTTGGGTTTTTTTTAAGTCAAATGGAATCTAGTCGGCTGGGTATAGGAATTTCTACAGCTGATGGCTCTAAGTCTTTCAGACTCCCCGACATATGGATAAACCAGGCACAGATTTAGCAGGTCTGTCTTTATGTTAAAACGTATACGTGATAAAAATATATGACTGAAGAGAATTTCTGCGGTTAGCACTGTTTCGTTCTGCAATGCCCCGAGACAAGCAATAAAATTCCGTTTATTTGGAGCGGATATTCACAATGAATCGATGACCCTTTTTTCCCCGAGAGTTTGCGCATATATTCCTCTGCCATTATGCAATAGACTCGCAACCATTTTTGCCGGTGCAGGTGTTGTTTATTAAAAGGAGCATAGTCATTGCAGGTGTATATTAGACATTAGCTGAACGTAAAGATATTAGCAAAAAGTGCCTTCTGACTGGCATTTTTATAGCTTTGCCTCTCGGAGCGGGCTGCCAAGGCGGATGCCGGGCTGCGCACCGAGATGGGGGTTCAGCCCCGGTTGTCCATCCCTCCTCCGCAGCGATTCTGCTTGAGCCTCGCTGGGAAAAAGGAGGAATATAGTTTTCTCGAATCAAAAGTTATCCTGAAATGTTTTTAGACGTATAGTCAAGGAGTAAGGATGTTTTAATTTCTGATTTTCCAGCTCATGGGTCATATTTGACCAACTGCTTTCAGCAGAAGACATGCCACTTTGTTGAGCTATTTAGGAATCAAAAAGACTGTCTTAATTTAAAACAAGGAGCCTTTGTTTTAGTTGGTGACTGCCTTGTGAAATTTTTCAGTTCTCAGCGGGTTAACCAGGGAACAGGGGCAGAGTCATAATTGGCCTATTTAGAGTATTTTGCATGTGAATAGTGTGTTAGTGAAGCATTACTAAGTCTGTTGTGAGTGACATGGTGATTAGAATTTAGATTAGGGAAAACACATTCTGTACTTTATCAAGTACAGTAATTAGTTCAGTCAGTAAAAGTTGATTACAAGTAACGATAAAGTTAGATTTTTGGTACTTAATTTTAAAATTTCTTTATTAAACGGTAAATTTGTTCTTAATATAAATGGTAGTATCTACACCTGTTTTATTGCGTATCAGAATAATTAAAAGAACAATGTGTTCAATGCAGAGTATAATCAGGGGATTTATATATTATGGGTAAGTTTCAACGTAGTTTATAGCAAATAGAACATTACTCAGGAAATTGTTCTTCTGTCGTAGTCTCTTAAAGATTTAGACTGTTTCTTACAGCGTGGGTCAGATAATGTTTTCTGCCGTTTCACGGGAACCGTAGTCCTTTCGTAGCTGGGAAAATGTGGCGTTTACTGGGACGCATCTTGTTAGTTAATGGTACGGGCATAAAATGGATATACTGAAAGTCCTTTGCTGCTGCTATGCTGCCGCTATACAATAGCGTTAATTGTTTTGGGGGTTCTGAGGTGCTTTTATATTTTCTCATAGCATTGCAAAAAAAAAATTAATAACGTAGAATTTTATTTTCACGTTTGAATCGCATCTTATGCGCAGCCTGCTGTACAGATTTTTATGCTGCGAGAGCTGATGGATTTGATTCACCGCTATGAATTTTTCCTTGCACGGGGCTAAACAATGAGGCTGTTTCACGCACACCGAACCAACCCGCTCTGTCGACAGCAGGATTTGGGGGTTTTTTAAGTTTTATTATTGTTAAATCCGTGCACTTCGCTATCTTGGTTGCAGTGAAGAAACTAAATTGCCTTCGGATATATTAACAGAGCTCAAAAGTTTTTTAAAACACTGATTGCATTTGAATAAGTAGGCGATAAGTCTCCTTTAAATGTAAATAATCGTATTTGAAATTAATTACTTTGTGTTTTCCTCGTGAAGGAAAAGATGCTCCACTGGAGATTTTCGTAATGTCTCCTTTAAAATTTTGGCAGGTTCTTCTTTCCGCGTTTCGGTTGCTCGTGAAGGTTGCTTTGCTGTGTTATTTTTAGGAATGAGAAATAGCTAATGATGAGGAAAGTCGGATTTTACATGCACGCGCACACACGTATATATTTTTAATCTTTTAGCAAAGTCTCCTTGGAGGTGACATGGATATTGGCAACCCAGGAGCGCTCTCCCCCACTAAGCCTGGCTCCCAGTACTATCAGTATTCTAGCAATAACCCCCGGCGGAGGCCTCTCCACAGCACCTCTATGGGTGAGTGACTTTGTCTTCAACCTTTACAAATAATTGGAGTTTCGTCCTGTTTAGCGATACTTTGAAATAAATACAATAAGTGGCCGAGCGTACGCCGCCGGGACTCTCGGAGGGGTTTATTTCCCGTTTGCTGATCGCTCCTCTTTGTCGAGCGTCCAAGGGGCTTTAAAAAAAAACCCCTTTTTTCAAAGCGAATCTGCGTAAGGTAAAAAAAAAGGCCCAAACGCTCCAGATCAAAATATGAACAATTTTCCAGCCTGTTAGTGTCGGGCTGGAGAGCAGTGGCATCCACTCGGTGCTCCCAAAACTGCTTCAAGGCTGGCGTGAGCCGGCGGGCAGGGCGATTAGCAGCTAAAATCGCGGCGACGGTAAAAAAAAAAAAAAAGAAAAAAAAAAAAAAAAAAAAAAAGCGCCTGTCTTACGAAGACACCGTTTTGTCTTTTTTTCAGAAGTACAAACAAAGAAAGTTCGAAAAGTTCCTCCAGGTTTGCCATCTTCAGTAAGTACCGCTCGGCTGCTCCTTGCTTGCGATCGCGGCGCCTTTGTTCGGTTGCAGGCAGATAGAAGCGAGCCCGCTCCCGGGCGCGCTGGGCGCTGAGGGCTGAGGACAAGGTAAGGAGAGTTCAAAACCCTCGGCGCTTGGCCCCGCTTGGAAACGCTTAATTGCACGATGGGGACGAGCGGGTGTTGCTCACGGGGATTTTCTCAACGGGCGCGGGCGGCGCGTACCCGCGCGGGGCGAGCATCCCGTCCACGTGCCGCTACGCTTCGGTGTGGGGCTCCAGCCGATTTATGGATTCGCCCGTTGAGAGAGATGCGCGGAGAGGATTTATGCCACATTTCCACGGGTCTCAGCCCGGGATGCAGGGCAAACGTCTTCATTTTGACGGGAGGTCTCTGAGCTCGGGTACCGGTGGCAGAAGCTGGCGGGGCTGAGCCCAGCTGCCAACCGCTGGGCCCCAGCTGCTGCCAGGGCACCGGGGCGGCTCGCGCGGCAGCGCCGGAGCCGGTCAGCACTCAGGGCTTTCCCCCACGCCGTACAGAGTACCCCCGACGGCTCTTTGTAAGGAGGGTTACGGATGCCGGCCGGCCGCACCGGGCACGGTTTTCAGTGGTTTATCGTGAAACCTTCGCGTCGTGCGGTCGGAAGTTGGGGTTTCTCTTTGGTTCGGTGAAATCCTTTGTTTCGTCATCCAAATAATTATTCTATTAGTTTTCATCGTCTCGTCGTTTTGCACGATCTCGGTGGGTTTTTCCTGAGAAAGCTGTGCCAAGGCGCATTACATCTTTTGAGAGCATTAAAGTTAAAATATATAGAAAACAGCGGTTTTAAAAGCAATTTTACGACATTTCTGTAAATACAGCACAAAGAGTAGTACGACTAATGAGGGCGTTTTATTCTAGCACTTTTATCCTCATTTTTTCTCTGCCATTCCTTTAAAAATACCTAATACATATTTTTGTATCAATATCTGCAAACGGAAAACAAACCACTTGAGAGAGGAGAGCTTCCCTTCCGTACCTGATAACTGTCTGTTTTATCTGGAAATCTGGTTATTAGGAGGGGCCGAGTGGCAATCGGTCTTGCGCAATAAATAACAAATTGGCATGTTAATCTCAGCTGGCTTTTATGCTTTGACCAGAAATCCGGGTAAATTCGCAGTTTGCAAACTAGCATAACTTTTAAAGCTTCGGTTATTGTAGTGACTGTGCTAAACTAGTTTCCTTACCGGTCACTTTATAAATAATAAAATTTTAATCTGAAAGAGAAAACCACGTATGAACATCCTAATTTAATCCTAATTGTAATCTTTAGAATGTTAAACAAGTACAAACATAAATCTTTTTTTATAAGTTGTTGAAATATGGAAATTCTCAAGTGCGAGTTTCCAGTAAAGTAATAATACTTTTTTTTTTTTAAATTTATTTTTTAATTAAAAGTGAGTTCCCACAGGTGTATTTTAAATTTATTTCACTATGTGTTTTTTGGTTTTGGTTTTTATTGGGCTCCTTTACAGCAATAGCTAATATCCTCCCCAAAGGTTTTTTATGAGCACTCTCACGCTTGAAGTTAGAGGGGGGTTTAATTTAGCTGAAACCTTAGTTTTTAATGGTTTTCCTGAGGACTTCACCTGAGCTATCCCTCCCGGCTCTTCCCAGCTGGAGGCGAGGCCGGTTTTAATTTACTCATTTGCAGGGGAAAGGAGGGGGGTGTGTGTGTGTGTGTGTGTGGAACCCACACCACCCCAAACCTGCTTTTTTTAGGATTTACAGTATTGCTGAGGGGTGACCGTCGCAGGAGATACGCGGGGATGGTGTGTGATAAAAGATGCTCTCAGTGGAACGGTACCTCTGCCCTCGCTGCGCCGGGAAGAGTGGCGGCGTTTCTGCGGGAAACGTCAGCGGGCAGGGATTTACAGCTGCTGCGAAAGTTTTTTATGGATTGCTTCTTGCTTCCAAAGAATGAAAGGCAATTTATGTTTGTCGCAGATTAGTCTCAAATGTGTGCTTCCTTTAATTTTTTCTGAATACAGTTGTTGTACAGAATGGAAATACTTCTCCAGCTCAGTACTCTCAACTATTTTAACAGTATTTTTATTTTTAAGTCAAATTATCTCTGAGTAGAATATGCGCTTTAAATACTTCACATTATTTTCATGAGCCGTACGATTTATT